CTAGGCTACACTGATTCACACGTTACCTACTGTTAAAATGCTTCTGTGTGCCAGGAAACCAGCCACGGGGTTCGCAGTTTGTAATTTGCTGCCTCAACTCACCTTTGGCCAGATGGGTGGCATATAAATGTAATAATGAAAATAAATAAATAAACGAATGAATGACTGGGAATGAATCAACAAACCATAGCTTAGCAGAGGAGCAGACTCAGGTAGTCGAAACCAATATTTCTGAGCCTTTATCAACTTTAAGATATGTGGACTTCCAACGCCCAGAATCTCCACATATCTTAAAGTTCCCTAGCTTGAGAAATACTGCTTTAAACCAGGGGTCCCCAATCAACCCCTGGGCCATGGCCCAATAGCGGGCCATGGTCTATTTGCAACCGGGCTGCGTGCAGCTTAACTTGCGCAAGCAGTGTGGCGGTATGTGTGGACATGCCACGCAGCTTACGTTGAGCTGCGTACACGTGCATGCCAGCCTGCCACTCATGTGGCCCAGTTCCCCTCCTCTCCCCATCATTGGGCCACTAAACCACAAATGTTGGGGACTGCTGCTATGGGGTATTGTTCTGTTCCAAACAGGAGCTTTGCTTTAGTCCAGTGTTTCTCAACCTTGACAATTTTAAGGCATGTGGACTTCAGCTCCCAGAATTCCACAGCCAGCATTGCTGGAATTCTGGGAGTTGAAGTCCACATGCCTTAAAATTGTCAAGGTTGAGAAACACTGCTTTAGTCCTTCTTGACACAAACAGATTAACTCCAAAGACGGATTAATATTCAGATTATTTATTCTTCAGAAATTTTCGAACAATAACTCACAGTCAATGCAGAATTCTTCTGAGGCACATATTCATAATCTGTCCGATCTTGTAGTGTAAAAAATTAAAGGTAAATTCACCCCATGCTCGTACGGAGCAAAAGGACCTCGTGGTTGTACTACACAAAACTTTTCATACTGGGCAGGTAGCCAGGCAATCCTGTCATAAACACTGAAGTCCCTCCCAGTGATCAATTAGAACACAGATATCACCATGTAACAACTAAACTACATTTCCCAGAAGCCATCTCTTAAGGAGACAGCATTTAACCCCTTAAATGCTACTTATATATGCTCTGACCAGGTGGCTACATACTGGTCCAGCACAGGCATCTTCCTGAAAAGGTGTGAGTTTGAAGCATTTGAAAGAAAATTCAATTAGCAAAACCAGAATTAATTCTACACTTGAATCCTAGTTCATTATATCTACACAAAATACAGAGCAGCTTTAAATAAACTAAGCCAGTCTGGGTGGGTTCACGGCCTTTGAAACACTCTTTGTATAGCATTATTCTGACAACATAACAACTTTCTAGTGTTCATTTTGTACTGTAAGTCATTCTGGAAACTTTGAAGAATGGAATATAAAATATGTTAATCTATCCTTCACCATTTACATATACCCAGTCTTAAATGGTAACAGTAGCAGCAGAGAACTGTTGTAATGTAGAATTTGATTTTTTTGCTATTAACACAATAATAATAATAATAATAATAATAATAATAATAATAATAATAATAATAATAATAATAATAATAATAATAATAATAAAAAAGTTGGAAGGGACCTTGGAGGTCATCTAGTCCAACCCCCTGCTCAGGCAGGAAACCCTATACCATTTTGGACAAATGGCTGTCCAGTTTCTTCTTCAAAACTTCCAGTGTTGGAGCATTCACCGCTTCTGGAGGCAGGTTGTTCCACTGGTTAATTGTTCTAACTGTCAGGAAGTTTCTCCTTAGTTCTAGGTTGTTTCTCTCCTTGATTAGTTTCTTTCTCTGCCCATTTCTCCAGGTTATCAACGAGACTTACAAGAAAAACCTGATGACTCTGAAAAAATTTGTGATGGTGCGGTTCCTCAATGACACAATGGTAGATCCTCCTGCCTCTGAGGTGAGCGGCTCAGAAGGGTGTGTGGTGCTATAAAAGGTGTGCACATCCGAAAAATCAAAATGGGATTTAGCCCTTGTGTACCGCCCAGGGGCAGTTCTGAGTCCCCCCAAAAAGTACAGGTAGTCCCTGACTTACGACCACAATTAAAGCAGAATTTCCATTGTTGAGCAAGGTGGTTGTTAAACAGAGTCACAACTGATTTTGTGACCTTTTGTGCCATGGTTGTTAAGAGCTTCGCTCCAGTTGCTAAGTACATTACGTGATTTGATCCTGACCGGCTGAAGGTTGACTCAGCCTTCCGTCCTTCCAAGGTTGGTAAAATGAGGACCCAGATTATTGGGGGCAAATAGGCTGACTCTGTAAACTGCTTAGAGAGGGCTGTAAAAAGCACTGTGAAGCGGTATATAAGTCTTAAATTGCTATTGCTAAGCGAATCCAGCTTCCCCTTTGACGTTGCTCGTTTGTGCTTGATGGAAGCTGGCTGGGAAAGTCGCCAACGGTGATCACGTCACCCTGGGAAGCTGCAACCATCATAAATACTTGCCAAGCATCCAAATTTTGATATTGTGACTGTGGGGATGCTGCTGCGGTTGCAAGTGTGAGGACCGGTCACATGTGGCATTGTAACTTTGAACGAATGGTTAGAAGCCGAAGACCATCTGTACCATTTTTGAATCCATGTATCCTCAGACATGGTATTCTGGCAGGTCTCCCCTTTTGGGGTGTAGGGGACTTAATCCCTGTCCGTCTACGGGAGATTCTCCGTCATTCCAGGTCATGGTGGTCCCAAAGGTGCAACTGGGCCTTTCTTGTTTTTCTTTGAAGACGTTTAGCTTCTCGTCCAAGAAGCTTCTTCATCTCTCCCTGTCCCATTTTTGAGAATCCAGCTCCAATCACTGGACATTCTCATTAGGATAAGAAACACAGGGTTGGCTCTTAGCAGTTTCCAGGGATTGATCACAATAAAGACAATTTATGCCTTCTTGTTCTCTTTCCTTCCAAGTGGTTTGGTTACTACCGGAGCGGCCAGACCAAGGAGACGGTTCCTCTTCAAGAGACCACGCTCTACATGGAGGTAATTACCTCGAGTCTTTCCTTTGACTGACTGAAAACTCAACTTAGCTTGAAATAAACATCCTATCTGACACTGCAGCCAGCATTATGTTGCTGTTGTTAGTTGCAAAGTTGTGTCCGACCCCTCGCGACCCCATGGACAATGTTCCTCCAGGCCTTCCTGTCGTCTACCATCCTCTGGAGTCCCTTTAAGCTCACGCCTACTGCTTCAGTGACTCCATCCAGCCACCTCATTCTCTGTCGTCCTCTTCTTCTATTGCCCTCAGTCTTTCCCAGCATCAGGCTCTTCTCCAGTGAGTCCTTCCTTCTCATTAGGTGGCCAAAGTACTTGAGTTTCAACTTCAGGATCTGGCCTTCTAAAGAGCAGTCGGGGTTGATCTCTTCTAGGACCGACCGGTTTGATCGCCTTGCAGTCCAGAGGACTCGCAGGAGTCTTCTCCAGCACCATAGTTCAAAGGCCTCCATTCTTTGGCGCTCAGCCTTTCTTATGTTAGGGGACATAATTTCTCTATTCGGGCAAGAACAAAATGTCTATATAAATATTACCTTGAAAATTGCTTCCAGGATTGGAAACCATCAGAAGGACCTCTAGAGTTTTGTTCACCCAACAAACTTAACTAGGTCAGTTAAGGACTGTGGCTATATCCATGTCCTAAACATGGTTATTTCTAACTTTGGGTTGGGTGGGCTACCTGAGCTTTGCTAGGGCCTTCCTTAATTTTTTGTCTACTTCCCAGTCTAGTTTATAGCTCTGAGATACCCTTCTGCCCCCTCCCCCCCATTTAAGTAGTAATGAAGACCAACACGGCTTAGCTTTTTAAAGTTGGCTAGATGATGCCACCTGCCAAACCTTCAAGCTGTATCGGGCGAATCCCTAAAAAGCATGAACAATCCTATGGATTGCTCAATTAAGCCAGAAATCTTGGTTACACCCTAAATCAGTGTTTCTCAACCTTGACCATTTTAAGGCATGTGGACTTCAACTCCCAGAATTCCACAGCCAGCATTGCTGGCTGTGGAATTCTGGGAGTTGAAGTCCACATGCCTTAAAATGGTCAAGGTTGAGAAACACTGCCCTAAATGTTAGGGCAGAATGTGGTTGGGTTATGGGGTGAATTTTGCCGTGGGTCTCTTCGTTTAGTTTCTGACTTAAGTGTTCCTCAGTTTAACTTGGCATGTTGCCTTGATTTTCAGGATCGCCTGGGCCTGAAGGAAATGGACCAAGCAGGGAAACTGGTGTTCCTTGGAGCGGAAGGAGACCATCTCCGCTTTTCCAAAGAGTGGTTCTTCAAGAACATCGTGCCATTTCTCAGTGATGCTGCTGGTGATGACAGTCAGGCTGTCCTATCGTAGGGTTTGGTGGCTGGAGATGATTCTCATGGCAAGGCGGGATACGCTCCATAGAGACCTATCTTGAAGACAGGGCTGTTTCTACTAACCTGCTAGGCTACTGTTCCATTTCAGTATTAATAGTTTAGGCATGTTCAACTGCAAGTATTTTTTTGTTGTTAGTTGCAAAGTTGTGTCTGACCCATCACGACCCCATGGACAACGTTCCTCCAGGTCTTCCTGTCCTCTACCATCTTCTGGAATCCATTTAAGCTCACGCCTGCTGCTTCAGTGACTCCATCCAGCCACCTCCTTCTCTGTCGTCCCCTTCTTCTCTTGCCTTCAATCTTTCCCAGCATTAGGCTCTTCTCCAGTGAGTCCTTCCTTCTCACTAGGTGGCCACAAAGTACTTGAGTTTCAACTTCAGGATCTGGCCTTCTAAAGAGCAGTCGGGGTTGATCTCCTCTAGGACTGACCGGTTGGATCGCCTTGCAGTCCAGGGGACTCGCAGGAGTCTTCTCCAGCACCATAGTTCAAAGGCCTGCAATTCTTTGGCACTCAGTCTTATGGTCCAACTTTCACAGCCATACATTGCCACTGGGAAAACCATGGCCTTGACTATAAGTATTTAAACTTTTTCAAAAACCAACCTTTGTCTCCAAGACCTGCCTGTTGTAGGTGTTAATCAGCTGTCACCTGATAACATGGTATTTGTATGGCACAATCGGAGCTGGTCACCATTGTTTGGGAGGGTGTAATTGATATGAGTCACAGTGTGTAAAATTCCTACTTCAGGTATGTACAGTTTAAGCCCCATTTGAAAGAGAGACCTCTTCTGTGATTTTGTTGAAGTGTCAGTCTAAAGAAACTCAAAAGCATTGCAAATGGCATTGTGTAGTTGCTCTGAATGGATATATTGAATAGTGGCTGCATTCAGAATGAGGTGTGGAGGGGTGAGGTGTTTCCACAGCTGAGGTTTTCCCCTGAAAACTGTGGCCTTTCATGGGTGGAAGGCATCACTGTTAATGCTGGAAGGAATTCTGATAAAAAGCCATTGATTAGATCTCCCAGAACAAGGGGAAGAAGATTTAAAATATGATTTATGGAAGAGGATTCGGTTTTGAAATCATGTTAATTCATGTTTGCTTTGATTTACATTACAAGCATTTTGCAATTTGACACAGTCTAATAAACCAGTTTTAATTTAGGTTGCAATGGTGGTCACTTCAGGGCTGGAGTGACTTACAGTCACATCGTCTGTATGTGCTCCTACTTGACTGGACAATTGGACTTTCTGTAATTCCACCATAAACATGGAATCTTCTGAGCAGAGCATCTTTGAAAGACACGCCTTTCCCCAGAAGCCAGTGTTCAGAAAAACCTGATCATGTCTCACCAAATGGTGGTGTTAGGTGTGATGGGTAGATCAAAGCTCACTTTGATACTTTTCTCTGATCTGAACAGCTTGCTGACATATGACAGAATCTGGGGAACTGCTTACGTTCTTAAGTCGTCGTTAAGCGAGGACATAACCACTTCCCCAGATTCTCTCCTTTGGGTCCATTGTGGACCATCGAGATGGTTGTGTAGACTTTTTCAGACTGCCTTAAAAGTTTCCAGGATAGACTTCATTAAATAAAAAGTTTGAACTAAGACGGGGGTAGGCAACCTTGGCTCTTTTATGACTCGTGGACTTCAACTCCCAGAATTCCTGAGCCAGCCACGCCGAGGGGAAAGGGAGAGGTTTCCATGCTGAGCCATGCTGGCTCAGGAATTCTGGGAGTTGAAGTCCACGAGTCATAAAAGAGCCAAGGTTGCCTACCCCTGCCATAAACTAAATGGGCTTCGTGTGTTGGGAACCTAATTCAGTGCTTCTCAACCTTGAAGATGTGTGGACTTCAACTCCCAGAATTCCCTAGCCAGTATTGGGCTAAGCTACAGACTCCTCCAAGCAGTATATTTTAAAAGCCCTCCCAGGTACAGATCATTTAAGCAGAAGATAACACTCATCCTGGCAAGAATTGGAGAAAACCAACAACGGAACAAGAGCGACCAGCTCCGAAGGCACCGTGGCAAGCTTAGAAAGGATCACACTTTATGAGCAACTTGGCATTAATTTTATTCTATCTTCAGTATAATTTTAAGTACATAAGAAAGATTTTTTTTTTATATTCCACAAGCCTCGGAAGAGAAGTACAAGTCACAGGACAGTTTCAAAATAAAGAGTTGCATATCTTCTGTTAATTTTCAAGTGGGAAACTCAAAAACGTGGCAAAAAGGGAGGAAAGGAAAGATATTATCTGCATTACTACAGTTAAGACAGGCAGCTCCCTGTGGTGGGTCATTGCAGTACCATGCCTTCAGCCTGGGCACCATCACCAGAGTGCTGTGTGACGCGAAACTCTGCAGAAGAAGCAGCAAGGGAGAACTAGCTAAAGAGCCCCAAATGTTATGGGGCTAATAAATGCCAGTGAGCAATAGAACCAAAACGCCATGGAATTGTGCTTACAAACAATTCAATACTTCTCTTGGAATGGAGAATTCATTCTGCCCTTGGGGGGGGGTGAAGGAAAAAAAACCCCTGATATTCTGGGAAAAACTGTCCTGGAAGACTGAACAGTGTTCAGTTGTTCAAAAGAGGCCTCTTGGGCACAATTTTCCCTTTGTAAGAAGGCTTGAACGGAAGGGGGGTCGAGAGGCAGGCTTCGAACTGCTGGAGAGGCGCCCAGAAAAGAGAATTTTGTTCCACGGTCGCCTCGTGGCACCTGTACCCGGGGCAGGGCAGTCCCCCTCCTCTCCCACCTCATGGCACAACACAGAAATTTACAAGGACAACACAGGAAGGGGGAAATCGGGGCGAAGGAATGTTACACATCCCATTTTTTTCAGCCTTTGGTCCAGCAAAGCTATTCTCAGCATCTCTTGGGTGAGATTAGTTGAGCAGAATTATTTCCCTCGGACCTTCCCCCAATTTAAGAAGCCTGTCAAGTATATTTCATACATCTCTAAAGGGGAGGGGTACCATATGCTGATAGAAACTTTATCCTCCCCCCCCCCATCCCAACGTTCCTCATAGAAGTGGAACTCCTTGGCCAGCTTGACACCTACACCGACTGGACAAGATGGGTGTTGCCTGGCCAAAGGGGAAGGGGAGTGAATGCCACACCTTCCTGCCAGTCAAGGGAGAGAATGGAATGAACCTGCCCCCCCCCCCGGACCCCAAATTCCAGCCTGAGGTATTTTCAGTCAGGGGGAGGAGAAAGGCAGGTCTTTCAAGAAGACAGAAGCAGACGGAGAGTTGGAAAAAAATGGGACAAGGAATCTAAAAGCCGGCCCCCAGAAAGCAAATTTTTTTTTTTGTCCCAAAGTGATGGTAGAGGAAGGGGAGGTCGTGAAGCAGGAGGGCCATCTTATCCAGCGATTTCTGTCACCGTGGTGACCAACTTCTGCCCGTTCCATTGCGTCTTGAATTGCTCAGGGACAGGAAATTCGTTCTGGGGAAATCAAACGTACAAGACATTGTTGAGTGGTGTGTAGAAGACAAGACATCTCTGGTGCTGGGAAGGCCTCCACCCCAGGGCACAGCCCCCCCCCAATGTTGTGCACCTTTCAGAATTTTGCAAGGTTCCTAAGTCAGCCAGTTTATATGTCGCTTCCCCTAGTACAGGGGTTTGCAACCTTGGCCCCTTCGTGACTCGTGGACTTCAGCTCCCAGAATTCCTGAGCCAGCATGAGGGAAACCTTGGCCCCTTCATGACTCGTGGACTTCAGCTCCCAGAATTCCTCAGCCAGCATGGGGGAACTATGGCCCCTTCATGACTCGTGGACTTCAGCTCCCAGAATTCCTCAGCCAGCATGGGGGAACTATGGCCCCTTCATGACTCGTGGACTTCAACTCCCAGAATTCCTCAGCCAGCATGGCTCAGCTTGGAAACCTCCCCCTTTCCCCTCAGCATGGCTGGCTCAGGAATTCTGGGAGTTGAAGTCTACGAGTCATAAAAGAGCCAAGGTTGCGTACCCCTGGGTTAGGGTCTTAATGGAAGATTAGGATGTTGGAACAGAACATGGAACTTTCTCTGTACAGATCCTCCAAACTAGGGGTAGACTACCTTGGCTCTTTTGTGACTCGTGGACTCGTGCTGAGGAGAAAGGGAGAGGTTTCCAAGCTGAGCCATGCTGGCTCAGGAATTCTGGAAGTTGAAGTCCACAAGTCATAAAAGAGCCAAGGTTGCCTACCCCTGGCCTAGTAGATGAGCAACTGGACAAGCTGCCATTTGGGGGAAGCCCCAAAACACGAGTTTTCTTCCTTCGGCAGTAGTATTGGATGACAGAGTGCTAGAGCAGGGGTCTTCCAACTTGGCCCTTTTATGACTTGTGGACTTCAACTCCCAGAATTCCTCAGCCAGGCACGCGTGAAAACCTGCTTTCCTTGTTAAAGAACTGATAACATCTGCTTACTAATGCAATTCTCTGAAACCAGCAAGACTGGGGAAGTTTCCATTTTAAGTACGGGTAGTCCTCAATATACAACTGTTCAATTAGCGACCGTTCAAATTTACAACCTATCTGAAAAGGGGGAGTTCCGAAGTTCCAACTGCCACTCCCCCCACCACTAGCTATGTGACCAAATTTCAGGTGCTCAGCAAAACGGCCACATGTATTGCCGTCTGCGGCTTCGTGGAGTCACATGACCACATTTTACGCCGATTAACCCTAACTTTTTACACCGATTTAACCCTGTTTACGCCGATTAACCCTGTTTTTATCAGGCTGTCAGCCGCCCTGAGTCCGCAAGGAGAAGGGCGGGGTATAAATTCAAATAATAAATAAATAAATAAATAAATAATAAAACTAGCAGTTAATGTCTCGCAAACAATGGGTGGTAAAATTGGGTCATTCATATGGCCGACCCATTTTATGATCCTCACCACATTCAACCGTAATGGGCAGGCTCTATTACAGTCATATGTCAAGGACTACCCATAACTCCCCCTTTTCAGCTTGAATAAACACCCCCCCTTCAGAGTGATACGGACAAGAACTCACAAAGTCACCGCTGTCTGTAGGAACAAGAACGTTCATCTCCGAGGACTTGGCACTAACAATCTCACACTCTAGAGAGCTCTTGCTCAAGTAGACTTGACAACCGTCTGTCTTGTTGATGGAAATGGTTGGCACTTTTCCCATTACCTAGTGAAAAAAAAAGAGACCACATTGAGAAACTGCCAAGGGCTACACCTCCTACGCGAAGTCTGGGCATCCTTTTTTCCTCTGTGGAAATCTCATTTTTCCCTCCAGGTGCATTTAGAAGCAGCAAGGTGGACAGGACCAAAGCAGCCAACAGGAAGGTGCAAGTCTAAATCCAGAAGTTGAGGAGATCAGTCGTTCTCCTTCTGAACCTCCTTTTTACAGTCTCCCAAGAAGGGATATATCAGTGATGGCAAACCTTTTAGAGACTGAGTGCCCAAACTGCAACCCAAAACCCACTTATGCATCGTCGAGTGCCAGGTGGGTGTTGCCCATTGTCTGGGCATGGCCCATTGGCTGGGCGTGGCCGCAGTGGTAACGGCAGACTGGGTGGGACTAAAAAGTTCAATCAATCAATTCCAACTTTGCAAGATCTTTTTTTCCCCCGCGAGAAGTTGAAATTGACTGAACTTTTTTATTTGCACATGGCGGCGGAGGCCTAAAGCGAAAAGGTTTTATAAAACCCAGCTGAAGGCCTAGAACTGGGGCAATGGCACGTGTGCCTACAGAGAGGGCTCTGAGTGCCACCTCTGGCACCCGTGCCATAGGTTCGCCACCACTGGGATATATGGATTCCTAAAGGACTGCAGAAATTTGGCTAATGGCCACAGCTTGACCACTCTCCTAAATGTTAAGACCGAAATGAAGGGCAAGAAGGTGGCCTACAGCAGGGGTGTCAAACTCAATTTCATTGAGGGCCGCATCAGCATTGTGGTTGCCCTCGGGGCTGGGTGGGTGTGGCCAGGGTGGGTGTGGCCTACTGGGTGGGCGTGGATGGAGTGGGTGTGGCCTACTGTGTGGGCATGGCCAGCTCTACATCGTTCACGTCAAGGGTGCCTGTGGGGGCCTGGGCAGGAGTGGGGCAGATCTGAGGGTCTCTGGCAGAAAGGGGTGGGACCGGGGCAAGCGCCAAGGCAGGGTCCATTTCTTCATTCCTCACAAAGGGTGACACCTCCCCAGCATGCACCCAGGGGGTGGGGCCGACGCGGCAGGGGCTGGTTCCTCGCTGTTTCCAGACGGCCTTGTGGAGCTAAGACTGAATGCGTTTCAGCATAGATGGCCACCACAAAATTGTACATTGGCTCCCGGCCAGCCTGGGCCAGGGCCTAGGCAGCGGGGGCCGTTCCCTCACTGTTTCCAGGATGGCTTCGCGGGCCACATGAAACCACTTCGCGGGCCGCATCCGGCCCCCGGGCCTTGTGTTTGACATGTCTGGCCTACAGCATTTTCATGCTTAACACTGGTAACTCTTTGAGACACCTGGTGGGAGGAAGTTACTGTCAAGGTGAAATGAACCAAAGGACACGTGCCATTACCTGAATTTGAACATCACGGCTGTTGATTATCTCAACAATGCCCACCACATCATCAAATACCAGCCCAAGTTTCTTACAGTTATCTGAGAGAGAGAGAGAGAGAGAGAAATGAGACTAGTATGGATTGCTTCCTTTAAGAAAATAAATCTCAATGTAGCTAAGACTTATCTTTTTTTCACTGATAGCCATAGCACATCGACTTTGCAGCCCTCTCTAAGTGGTCTATAGAGTCAGCATATTGCCCCCAACAATCTGGGCCCTCATTTTATCAACCTTGGAAGGATGGAAGGCTGAGTCATCCTTCAGCTGGTCAGGATCGAACTCCTGGCAGTGGGCAGTGTCAGCCTGCAATACTGCATTCTAACCCCTCGGCCACCATGGCTCCAGAATGAACATGAACTTGGGCAAAGTCCAAGAGACAGTGGAGGACGAGGGGGAGGGGTCTGGCCTACTATGGCCCATGGGGTGGTGAAGAATCAGACACAACTTAGCAACCGAACAACGAAACCCCAAAGAAGAGGTGTGAACTTACCCAGCGTGATGGAGTTGATCTTCCCTTGGATACGGAGTGTACTGTTCACACACTTGTAGACATAGGCCACCTGCTTCAACTCCGTGCCACTGATCACCAAGTTGGAGGCGTTCTCTTGGTTTTCCTAAAGAGGAAGGAGCAGCTGCTATTATTCAGATTCATCACTTTCTCTTGATGCAACCAGGAACAGCAGGAACAAGGACGAATTTCACACAAAAAAAATCCACCCACAGGCTGGAGCAGGGGGTCCACCACGTACACGTGACTAACTATGCATCAGGTAAGAGCTCGTAGCTGAATTGATATGGTCCCTCACTGAGACAGAGGCACAGAGCCTCACTGCAATTCTTAATGGGCAAAACCAGGGCCAGAATAATTTAATCAATATTTAAGGTTGCAAGTAGTCCTTGACTTACAACTATAATTGAGCCCAGAATTACAATCATGTTGAAGCAATCGTAAAGTGGGTCGCTATGTGAACTTGCCCGGTTTTACTTTCTTTTTCTTTTTTAAAAAAATATATTTTATTAGATTTTATATGGGTAGGGAAAAGGTAGGGTCGGTGCGGGTACAGGAAAATCGGAATAAAGGGTTGGGACAGGGTGTGGATAAATAACAGTAAATACGTAATTCAGCGAACAAGCTGTCGTCCCGGTCTTCATATTAAGTATTGTTGTTTATATAATACTANTTTCCCCCAAGTTTTATAAAAGATGGAGTCTTCTTTCTCCTTCATCTCTAACGTTAATCGGTCCATTTCTGCACAATCTTTAAGATTTTCAAAATTATAATCTGGTCTGATGGTAAATTTTCATTTTTCCAAAATTGGGCAAATACTATTCTTGCAGATGTTAATACATGTAATATTAAATAATCGTTTTCTTTGCCATAGTTAGGTCTTAATCAAGATCACGTGAAGTGTTAATACCACTTTACAATGCCTTAGTAAGGCCACACTTGGAATACTGCATCTAGTTTTGGTCATCGCGATGTAAAAAAGATGCTGAGACTCTAGAAAGAGTACAGAGAAGAGCAACAAAGATGATTGGGGGACTGGAGGCTAAAGCATATAAGGAACGGTTGCTGGAATTGGGTATGTCCAGTTTAAGGAAGAGAAGGACGAGGGGGGACATGATAGCAGTGTTCCAATATCTCAGGGGCTGCCCCAAAGAAGAGGGAGTCAAGCTATTTTCCAAGGCGCCTGAAGGCAGGACAAGAAGCAACGGGTGGAAACTAATCAAGGAGAGAAGCAACCTAGAACTAAGGAGAAACTTCCTGACAGTTAGAACTTCCTGACAGTTAGAACCACCTGCCTCCAGAAGCGGTGAATGCTCCAACACTGGAAGTTTTTAAGAAGAGACTGGACAGCCATTTGTCCGAAATGGTATAGGGTTTCCTGCCTGAGCAGGGGGTTGGACTAGATGACCTCCAAGGTCCCTTCCAACTTTACTATTATTATTATTAATATTCCTGAGGCGGTTGCTAAGGGAACACCGTGATTCTTAAAGGAATCCGTTTCCTCCACTGGACGTTTTTCGTGAGAGGTCCATTGTAACTTTGAACCGCCGCCCAGGGAGGACTGCCGGTTGTTACACTTCCAGAAAACTGGAGCTGAGGTTTTGTCCTGGCTCTACCTCCTACCCCTCCCTACCCAACGTGCCCCCTTGAAGGCCAAGGGCTTGAAAATAAATGACCCACCACCTCAAGATAGCACACGCTTTTTTGTATCGACTGTCAAGACTGCTAACATCGGATGTTATTTATTGCTTGCCATATATGAAGAAGCAAACATGTTTTATTTAGCCTGCATATCACTTCTAGAGTTAAAGTCAGACAATGTTAGAATAGCAGTGTTTCTCAACCTTAACAATTTTAAGGCAGGTGGACTTCAACTCCCAGAATTCCACAGCCAGCAG